AGGCAAGGTTGTTTACTCTCACCGTTTCTCTTCCTCCTGGTCATCGACTGGATCATGAAGACGTCAACATCTGGAGGAAATCACGGGATACAGTGGACAGGCAGGATGCAGCTTGACGACTTGGACTTCGCGGATGATCTGGCTTTTCTATCACAAACGCAACAACAAATGCAGGAGAAAACGACCAGTGTAGCAACAGCCTCAGCAGCAGTAGGTCTCAATATAAACAAAGAGAAAAGCAAGACTCTCTGATACAATACAATATGCACCAATCAAATTACACTTGATGGAGAAGCTTTGGAGGATGTGGAAACCTTTACATATCTGGGCAGCATCATTGATGAACACGGTGGATCAGATGCAGATGTGAGGGCGAGGATCGGCAAAGCAAGAGCAGCGTACTTACAACTGAAAAACATCTGGAACTCAAAACAATTTTCAACCAACACAAAGGTTAGAATTTTCGATACAAATGTCAAGACAGTTCTTCTGTATGGGGCGGAGACGTGAAGAACTACGAAAGCCATTATCCAGAAGATACCATTGTTTGTTAACAGCTGTCTACGCAAGATACTTCGGATCCGTTGACCAGACACTATCAGCAAGAAGTTACTGTGGGAGACAACAAACCAGATTCCATCCAGTGGAGGAAGAAATCAGGAAGAAGCGTTGGAAGTGGATTGGGCACACTTTGAGGAAATCACCTAATTGTGTCACAAGACAAGCCCTCATATGGAATCCTGAAGGCCAAAGGAAACGTGAAAGAACAAAAAACACATTACGTCGAGAAATTGAGACAGACATGAGAAGAATGAACAAAAACTGGGTAGAACTAGAAAAGAAAGCCCAGGACAGAGTGGGTTGGAGAAAGCTGGTTGGCGGCCTATGCTCCATTGGGAGTAACAGGCGTAAGTAAGTAAAGTAAGATTTCGGGATTACAAAAAAAATATCGAGGTTATGAGATTTTCTGAGAGAAAAGAAAGTATTCTGTCCGATAGGAAGATTTGAAAGCCGGAACTGTCAGTACATATAAAGTTTTGTAAAGAGTTGTTGTTGTAATTAGTTGTTATTCCACTCATTATGTATGAACGTTTTTGAGCAAAAGTTGACAGGTTACAGTTTCGAAATCACTGCCTGGAAACTCAAAACTGGCGCATTACACATGCGCGATGGTACTGATTAAGGAAATTCAGCTTTCGTAGATAGCTGAGTTTCTGCACTCATCCATTTGCTTCTCGGAATTCAAAGAATGGTTCAAATTTTGTAGGATCATCCACGAAGATTCGAGATAAAAGTTATAGTACTGGAATGGACTCTTATTAACTCAGCTACAGGCAACTATGGCAGCGATGCGACTTCTTATTTGAATGAGCATCTACCGCGTGTGGGCATCTGATGGTCTATAGGTTCATCTAATGATAAACCGACGATAAGAACAGTCATATAAGATGGAATTTATGGTATTATCAAACAGTCCTCAACCCTCTGGTAATATTATCGTCGATGTACTACCGGAATAAGCTTACTGTGAATCTCTAAGAATAACTTAAAGATGCCACAAGTATTTGAAGTTTATCACCACCTTAACCAGTAACACTGTCTCTAACCAAAACGTGCCAACCCAATGAAATCAAAAGTCAGAAGCGTGGAGGTTTGAAGATGTATTTGATGAGCTATTGATATATCGAGAAGTGAATGATCTAAACTGACAAGTGGTTGTAGGAGAGATTGAGCACAATGTACACAATCGTGATCTGGTGTGGATGCGTGACCGGGCGCTCTCAGCTAGGTGAGTTCATTAAAACCAATAAGGTCAGTATCAATGTCGAAGCCTTACAGGCTATTGATTTTAGGGATTTATTTATCACTACAACTTCTTAGACAATAACACTTGGTGGATAATTAATTTTGCGAGCTAATGGTTATTTTTCGTGCCAACACACACAATGTGTTAGCATTCAGGATACGACTAAATGCCGATTTCAAGAACATTACTACTATTTCATTTGCTTTTTCATCTATAGGCCATTATTACTGAACTTAGTACCATTAATGTTAACGCCAGAGATTCTTGCTTATTGTAGATCATCAACGCTGATGATTTTTGTCGAATGATCGGGGGCCTCCTAGATTTAGATGGGAACGGTGTGACGAACTAACTAACTTCGAAGTCACATCTCGCGGTCAGCACCTTACGTGGATTGCCCAATCGACATATCAAGGGACTATGGATGCTCTAAAGACTGTACAACACAAAGGACGTTATTACAGAAATATATTAGTTAAATTAGATACGAGCGAAATCAAAACCACCACCGCATGAGCCAGTTCATGGCGTACGATTAACTGATACGCGTTTCTTGTCCTCGACTTTGACAGGGATCGATGATCTGTCCCATATTCAGTGACAATTTGGCTAGGGTCCAGTGACACCTGCTCCTACATTACAAATACTTTGAAACACTGAAGTAACTGCAATATAATTCGAGTTTATTTGGGTGCTTTGATATTGGTTCTAAACAGATTATAATGTCACCTCCTGCAATATTTCTGCTTGCACATGGAGAGAACTAATGTCACCTTCCTATGGTGATTCTTGATCGTTCATAATCTACAATACAATACTAGATAAATGTTCTATCACAATATCCAAAGTTACATAATCAGTCTTAATTTAATTCTGAAGCTTGTACTAATACGGAGGACGTTTGAATTTCTCAACATGGGTGGGTATTTGAAGTTTAGCGACTATCAACTTCTCATCCCCGAGTTAATACGAAGTTGTAAAATCTTACCGATTGATAAATGTACGTAAAGATCCTTCGAAATAAAGACTTGTTTTTTTACTGTAGGTAATTAAGGTTTCAAACACTCCTCACTAACACGTCTCATATATTTTTTAACATTTTCCAAATAAATACTGAGTTATCAAAGCATAAGAAACATTTCTATATCAATTTGTTTCAGGAATGCAAATCGGTCGTTCTCATTTAGCTATGATATTATATATATATATATATATATATGTTATTGCTAATTGAGTTATTACCGACTATGCACTTTTCATGAATCGTCAAATTTTATTAAACCGGAATAAGATCGTATGTGTCCTTCGAGTTGGGGCGAATATCTTCCAGTATCAAAATGGTCATTGAAAGTTAGATATGTAGATTGTGGTGACGCAAACGAATAACTGCGACGATTCATATGAATAAACAATGTGTTGGTGCATAAAGTAATGGTCTATAAAGACCAAGGAATCACAATAAGAAACGACCTCAACACTACGAGTAACTGCAAGGCTGCCGCTTCCAAAGGCTTTATGGTCTTATGGGCTATTACTAAGTTATTTCGTCACTTGGACGGAAGAAAATTTAGAGTATTAACCGAATTTTATGAGTCCGCGATTAAAGCATGTGATCCAAGTAGTGAGTCTTTCTTTCAAGTATGGGGTGGTTATGCTAGAACAAGTCCAACGGTGGGTGCTCGAAACGGCAAAAGGTCTCTTTAGTGTGTCTTATAAAGAGAGATTGAAATGGCCCAACCTGTTTTCGTTATCTTCAGGTAATGAGGTGATCTAATACTGGCTTATCGTATGCTGAATAGTGACCTTGGTATTAATTTTGTCTTATCTTGTCCACCTAGGACTGATCGTCTGAGTGGATATTCTAAGAAAGTTCAAAACCGAAATCAAATCATTTATGTCTGGAGTTCTATTTCTTACATCGCGTAGTGAATTACTGAAATTCTTTGTCAAAACCCGTAATATCAGCACCTGTTGACACATTCAAAGCGAGATCAGACCTCCATAATGCTACAAATTACAAAGACTAATATAGGTTGACAAACCTTACTACTGGACTGAAAATGTTGAGTTGTCGTTAGCAACATGCATATTAAGTATACCTGTGAACTGAAGACTACGTTTCAAGCATACACATACCATATACCCTGAGTTGGTAATGAAAGGAGAAAAGGATTATTGATTTATTGGTACAACCTTTCCTTGAGTAAAAAACCCAGTTAGCCTCGAGAGGTCAGGGTTCACTGGAACTTTATCGTTTAGTGTACTAGTAGTTATCTCACTTTCTAAATCACACTATGGACAAAATCAGTTTTTTAAAAATAGCTATCACATCATTCATCCCTAGATGGTACCAAAGATGAGTTTTACAAGCACTCAAATCTCGTTCCAGTCAGATAATCTTCACGGATATTGTTAATATTGACTTCAGCAATTAAATACATGACTGAGTTAGATCCAAGGCTAATTTCTAATCAACTAGGGAGTATAGACAACCAGTTGCTAGGTAGAAATAAAATATAGGATTGGGCTCAAATGCACTGGATCGTGTCGCTGCACATTATATCAGCACAGAGAAAGGAGACTAATGGGATAACAAGAATTTAAAATTAATAATTCGGGTATCAGTTAAAGCTATGTATCTTTTTTAGGTGATGACTTGGATTAATTGAACTACGTCCCGGAGATATTCTAAACATGCTCACTAAATGCTTTGGAACTTATAAATAAAGCGGCAGCAACCATGTTTGCCTTCAGAATTGGACAAATTTATTTTGTTAATTTATCAGACTAATGAAAATTATTAGCTTGTATATAACTGGATAAAAAGGAATAAGACGTGTTCATCATATGCAAACATTACATCTATCGCTTTGTTTAAAGTTACGAGAAAAAACAATTTTCTATCAAGGCTTTTTCAATATTCTATATTTGATAATCTTTTTAAAAAAAATATAGAATGTTTTGTGTACATTGGCTTTCCCATAGACTTTCATTTTTCCTCTCCTTAATCATTTCATGATGTTCTTTTCCCATCGTATAGAAGGCATTATCCAAAAGAGATTTGTGAATAGTTACGTAAGCTTTTATGGTGTTTTCCGTAACTGGGATTTTCTCGCTAACAAGAACGCAAATTTGATGCAATAGTGCTTCTCCCCTGCACGATCGATCTGGTCTTCAACTCGGATTCGGCAATATGAAATGTAACGAGTTTCTAAACCAGACGTACCACTTGGCGGTTTGGTCATGGAATCGATTATTTAAATCGGTTATGGTGGAATTAATCGCCAGTGTACTATGTATATACCTCGTTTTCCGTTTCACTGCTTTCTATGAGTCTGAGAGTACACATATGTCTAAGTTGATCAGTACTCTTCAACAATTATCAAATTCTTTAGACGACCATGTAAGTTAAAAACCCTTATTTCAGCTGGTATTTGTCGTCATTATGTTAACCGAGAAGCACCAAACACATTTTGATTCTGAAATAAACTGAAATTGCGAAATCCAGACTATCGGGTTTTGGTTGCTCATCAGTAATATTTCTGTCATGAAGCTTGAATGTCTTGTGTTCTATTTCAACGTATAATCATAGGCTACAACGAAGCAATAAGATAGTGTTGATTGATTTGATACAGCCCCCGACTTTTTATTTAAAGTTAATTTAATGTATCAAAGTGACCAATAAATGTAGCTTTAGCTTTAGCTTGGAAACGCCTCCAAATGCTATGGTACGGCCGAGAGTAGAGAGAGTCAGCTCTCTCTCTCTTGAAATGCTCTCACATGGCCACGTGTATATCAAGTGATTTATGTGGCGCATATCCGGTACCTCCCTGTACCAATGTTTATGCTTTGAAATAAATAAATAAAGTTTGGAAACTGTCTTACATAAAATAAAAAACTAATAGAGACTTCTGTAGAGTTCTAACACACCGTGGGTTGTTGTTTTCCTCTAACAGATGTTCAACAGCTTGTACGTTGTAACTGCGTAACATGTATTTTGTTTTGGTCGCAAACATTGGTGGTGGACGATCTATAAAAGCCATTGGTTTTGAAATATCGGTTTGTTTTAAATATTACTCTGAATAGTATTCAAGCTCCTAGAGTATTCAGCAAAACTGATGTGACTAGTAATTTTTATAATAAAAAAAATTAAATGAACTTTAAAATTCTATGTTTTTGTATAACTGAGAAGTGTCACCATTTGCAAAGCCATTCTCTGTTGAAAAAGAAATCATTTTCGAAAATTTCATATCGTTATTGATATTAGTAATCATTTCTCATCAAATATACTATTTTACTATTCGTTTGCACACTATATTCTTAATAAAGTAATGATACTACAAAAGAAACATTGACACTAAGGAACAACGAAGGAATTAAAATGCTGTAACGATATTATGAAGAAATAAAAGATGAGACAGAATACATGATTGAGAAGAGTAATTACTTTGAACAGATTGAGACTTTTTTTCTCATACTTTACAGTTATTGAATTGAAAAGAATAAAAATTCGCAACAAATTAATCATTGGTTTTAGACTGAAGTGAAATTGGTCGAGATCAGTTTATACCATTCTGTCTTTCACCATAGCAAAATCAATCGTTAGATGGGTGAAGTCAGTTAAAAGGAAGCCCTGAGCTTAGGTTTCATGCTATTTCTCACTCGTCAGCAAAATGTATTTTCAAGCTTGTGATAACTGATGTTTGCCATGTGATTTTAACCCTCATCTCTCAGGGTAACAGTCAGGGACGTTGCCAGTAGGCTACTCAAGTCGTGACATGTAGATGGTGCATGCGATATTGAGTCAATTAGACTTATGACCATATTGGAACTTAACCGAGAGAATGCGATCAGGACCATGAACTAGATAAACATAATATTCGTTCTAATTCAGTAATCAATCGCTGAAAATCGGAATTATTTGGCATCCTGTAATTGATGCTCGTATAACACTACGGGTTCAATCTGTCGAAAGCCCACAGCAAACTTTGTGTCAATGTAAACCCGTTTAGTATAATTCCTGCATAGTATCTTTGATTCTTATAACCATTTCTCATTCAAGCAATAACTAAGGATAGTTGTCATATTTCATTAACTTATCATGGAAATATCCAGTCCATAACTCTACTCTTATCATATGTTTCTGAAATGAAGTTTTGTGTCTCAGATTGATAGTCTTCGGCTTGTTGTATTCTCTGCCCCAAGTGGTTTTTCTACAACCTCTCACTTCTCGACAACTTCATCAGCGTTTACTTTACGTGCTATCAAACCTCTTAGTGGTTTCATAAGGGCTAAATTCTTCTGTTTTTATGAACTTGTTTGTTAATAGTTGTTTGTTAAGGTTCTGCCAGCTTCATTTGACCTTTTGTTTTTGTTAACTATTTTCTTCGATTGACCCCTTGCCAAACAATTAGTTGACCTCTTTCAAATTGTTTGGCAAATAGAATAGATCTCGATTTACCTACCGATTGTAGGCTGACCTGAGTGTCATGCTCTCGGAAATTTCCTTTGAATTTTGTCGATTTAGAATTTGGTGTTTTTCAAAACAAATTCGTGACCTTGGTTGTCTCTGTGCACATATATGTGATGTTATATAATGTAGCATTAGTGCCAGTTTGTGTTATTGTACCAGTATATGAAAGAGTTGCCCACTTTATCCAAACTAATACGTGTTGCAGAGATGGATAGTGGCTAGCAGTGGAATCCAGGACGCTCGTTTCGTCCTATTTGAGACTCGTCAGCTGGATGTACCTGCATCTCAGAGTTGATGTTCACTCTGGGAGCGATGGCACTGGGTTCGAGTCCCAGAGTGAACATCAACTCTGAGATCAGGTACATCCAGCTGACGAGTCCCAAATAGGACGAAACGCACGTCCTGGATTCCACTGCTAGCCACTATCCATTTCTGCTTACCATGCTTGTGAATTAAGGCTATATTGCGGCAATACACACAGTATGCACATATGCCAATTAAAGACTGACCAGTTGCAGTCCTAACAAATCGATGGGAAGATTCAAACAAACAATACTAAAATGAATTTAATACGTGTTGCCTTTAATGGGATCTATTTGTCGACATGTCATTTATTTTCTTTCCGTTTTGTCTTTCAGGGACTGACTGACTGACTTAGTCTTTCAGTCTGTATAAAGTGGGATAATCAAATTCTGTTGGTTCGTTAGCTATTTTGATTCCGAAGGGCTTGAAAGTCCTTTTGGTGACTTTCGAAATGTTAATACCATGTTATAGGACAATTTGTTTTCTAGTTTATGGGGATGATTTTGTGCGCTGTGTTCACTTGCTAGACAATTTTTAATGAATTTACCAGGATGGCCATTTTACTTAAGATAAACAGAAGACAGTCTGTAAATCTGTTCATTGGATTGGAAAAATTTTGTAAACCACAGATCATTGAGTTTTCCAAAACTTTACCACTCCAGAGATAACCATCCATAGACAAAGTCATCAAAACAGGTGTATTTAGCACCTATTGAATAATTGAACGGCTTGCTTGTGCATGAACTAAGTGCTGAGGGTTTTACCTAAACGGCAATAAAATTTTCACAAAAAATCACTTAGCCCAGATAATGAAAGAAGGTTTATATACTTGTTCAAACAATAATAGTGTTTTAGACGTATTCGTTTCTTCGAGAAATAAACTGGGTTTACATTATTATTTTAATCGTCTTTTGCATGTAATGATTTGTATTGTCTTTTTATTAAAAACTACAGATAATGTTGCAAATGAAACTTCATTCAAAACTGAAGAAGGCAAACTTTCCACCTGATAAAGTTACTATTCCAGTTTTAGTGATAGCTTGTAATCGTCCCACTGCTAGTCGTCCTATTGATAAACTATTACAGTTAAAACACGAAATGCTGAAGCAAAACAATTTTGAATTTCCTATTTTCGTTTCACACGCTTGTGATGACGATGCTACTGAGAAAGTTTTACATTCGTATCAGGATAGGATTACGGTCATAAAACCAAAAACTCCGTTAACTAATCCAGGTAAAAGTTTTAAATTTACAATGTATTATCTATTTACTCGTAATATTTCATCGTTAGCTGACCCGACCAAGTGTATTCGAGTAAAGAGCCTTCATTAAGTTGGTCTACTTCTTTAGTGGATCTTTTAAAGATGGACTTGGGTTCAAGGTTTCTCGATTGATTAAGTCGAAGGTATCCTTTAGGTCGGAGAATATAGATACAATAAGACGCTAAGTATATCTATTCCAATACTTATTGGACGATTAATATTTGGTTGATGCATCCACAACTGGTTCCGGAATTTGCTTAATTTTCACCTGTTCTCGTTAACGTATAATTCTAACAGGACAACATGACCATTGTTCTTAGTTGCTTCTAGGTTGAGATCTCAGAGGTGATTTAATCAGTGGCTTATAATTCTAGACAATATGACTAAATCAATAACAACAGTGCAAAACCATTTAGTTCCTCTTTCTTCATTCATATTTATTTTGATATATTTTAGTTGATATCAATTTTCTTTCTTCATCCATTTGTGAAGTATAATACCTCAAATCGACATGCTTCTATGATGTCCTACCTCGTCTTGTGTATAGGTTCCTACCCATAATTTCCTTCTAGCCAATCCTGATGGATTAAGCCTTTCATTGAGTTATTTACTGTACTGTAAAGTTTTTGGGAACTCCAACTAATTTTTTTTCAAAATTGGGAGCTGAATAGCGCTATATATCTTCATGTTATATATTAATCAAATTATGCTTCTTAATTGCGAATAAGACTGTTCATTGTGTTATTTTCTTGACTACTGTGATGTTGATTAAAAAAGATTTATGTTGATCGTCTGTGTGTAAGCAGGTCATAGATTGGATTAATGCATATTTGACTCAGGATGACGTTGGAGCACGCTGGTTGGCCTATCTCTAGCCAATCAGTGGTACAATATAGATGAATAAGACCTCACAATATTCTTGTTTATAAAATGTAACAGTTTTCGTACTGTGATACTTACTTCCATTCAACTTTGTTTATTTGGAATATAATTTCGTTCATGTTTAACTGTGTTCTGATTTGGGGACTAATCGAGTGAGGTAAAGTGTTCGAAGAATATCAAGCGATAAGAATAGCTTAAACGTATTAAGAGAGATCTCAACACTATTTTTAAATAGGTTTTTCAGTAAGTCGTTAGTATCTATATTGTGTAACATAATAAACAGTTAAGTTATATATATATATATATATATATATATATATATATATATATACTGGCAAACGAAGCTGTACTGTGCTTGTCTGTAAAACTTTTGACTTGTAATAAACTTCCTTTATCCGGCACATGTTTCCAAACGTCGTTTAAAAATATTGCTGTGTCTTGTTTAGCTTAAACTGGTTGTTCGATTAATCAGAAGCCAAATTTGTTTGTTGATAATCTTTGCACAATCGTATCATCATTCGGTTTGTTGAATGCCTTAAGTATTCTGTTTCTTGATTTTCCTTCATTCCATTTATAGTTCAAAGCTCTACTTCTAAAGTATTTGAAGGTTACAGACATGTTAGCCATCATTATAAATGGGCTTTAGATCAAATTTTTATGGTATATAACTACTCGACTGTAATAGTCGTAGAAGATGATCTGGATTTGGCTCCAGATTTTTTAAGTTATTTTGTTGGTGCATACAATCTTTTAACTCAGGATAATACACTTTTCTGTGCATCTGCCTTTAATGACAATGGACGACTTCAGTTAATCGATATTACACGTCCCGAATTATTATACAGGTTAGTGGCTATTATTATTGTTTATTTTTGTGTATTCTATATAAACAATACCAAAAACATTTAGTTTTTATTTAAAATAACATTTGAAAAATGCGGTAATATGTTCAGCATATAATGTTATATGGATCCAGTTTACAGAAATCGAAACTCATGGGATATTGTAAGAAATAAGCGATCTTGTATGAGAACTATTATAATAAACTCTTTTTGTTTAACAGTTCATGGGTATAGATTTGGGTCTTGATACTTCAGTGAAAGATCATATGCAACCTGTCAATAAAAGAATAATCTAACTACTTCGGTTATTACATTTACTATCTTCGTTTACTGTCTATCTCTGTACATAAGAATCATCTAATCATACTGTGTATGTTATTCATAACATATATCCTAACGATAAGTTCAAATTAAATTGAAGTTTATACAAGCTCCAAATCCCTATTTTCTTTACTACTAACTTGTAGTAACACAGTCTACTAAAGTTTTGTCGAATAAGTGAATCCCTTCTATTGTTTCACTTTCCTAGGCCAGTTCATTCACATTTAGAAATTAAATTTAATGTAAGCTGATCGGAGGTAGCCATAAGAAAACCTCAAATCACCTCATATTGAAACATACTTTATGAAAGAGTAAATCGCTTAGACTAGTGGTTACATTGCCACTTAATCGATAGGATTTGATGAGGATTAAAGAATCAGAAAATATGACATTGGTCGTTACTCATTGACCAATCACGGTAATTTTTTACACTGTTTCTCCTTTATTTAAGTATTTTTTTGAAGAAAACTAAGTAGTATTCGTTGTAGTTTTAACAAGAAACTTACCCGTTAAAGTATAAAGTTATCCTGAATAACCTTCTCGGTGGTCTTGGGTGCTGTTAGGGGTATGAGGACAAATATCGCTTTCCGGCTGCCCACACCGTGGAAGGGTATTTCTTGAGGGACCTGAAAAAGAAATTGGGTTAGAGGTGGTCTTAATGACCTGAGAGCGTGACCGCAATGCACAAGGGACAATTGCTTGAGGCCTATCACGCACGGCCTTTTTGTGGGGGATTTTTGAAGTGTTAGCTCCGTTCTTCAAAGGACCTTACCGCCGGAGACTGATATCCGTGGGATAAGGCAAGGTGTGCATTTTTAGGGTCGACCTTTTCTAACCCCACCCCTCCTTGTGGGAAGGCAGCACCGTTGTTATGCTGGTTGTCTGAAGGAAACACTTTACTGCTGTCACACCTCTGTACAGTCAGCAGTACGACTTCGCCTTCGGACCTTGGGATTGCTGCTTTTAGTCTTACTGCTCTTCAACCGTCCTGCCTGGCATGGTAGGACCTTGAGGAACGATTGTTCCATCCAGTATAGCTCGATTGATTTATCACGATAGGCAAGCCCGACCACCACGTCAAGGTAGCAGCAACGGTCGGGGATGAACCTTCTAGTTTTAAATTACATTCCAGCTGTTGAACTTATCCATGTTTTGCATGTTATCTAACATCGGCAGCTTTAATTTACTTGAGTACACACAATTGAACTGAGTACCATGTCTTATAGTCACCACATTATGGGAAAAGATTATCTGACAAATGTCAGAAGAGATCATTGTATTACACAGCTATAATAAGGTCGATAACAAATCTAGGGCAGATACAACTATGCGAACGATTTAGCTAACCACTTTGGTCCCTAGATTCATGCATTTTTAAGTCATGGAAAAATTATTCTGTTGTAACAAACAAGTCAGTGCTTTAAGAAATGAAATATGATTAGAAAGCCATTCTTCATTTTCTAAATGCAACATACCAAACTGCATCTCTGTGCTAATGCGGTATGTCAACTCGAACTGATGTACGTACGAACGAAGTTTTACGTTGTGACTGACTGTAAATTACAAATCTTTTATTTGAAATAGTGTGTTTTATTATCGACTAGAGAAACTATTTTATTTATGCATTAAACAGATCGTTTGAAACCAGTCATAGGTAACTTATGTGACACTTTTCTTAATAGTCAAGTGAAGTTTATACTATGGATATTTTATAAGAAATGACTGTTCAGGTTTTACAATCAACTGACTTGTGATGTGTTAGTTTCTTTTATTCGAAATAATAATGAAGTGTAATGGACGTTATGTGTAACTGATTTATTTATTTATTTATTTAAATTTCGCCCCCAAATGCCCTGGTACGGCCGAGAGTGGGGAGAGTCTACTCTCTCTCTCGAAATGCTCTCACATGGCCAGCGAATATATAGCCTCTGCCAAGGAAGTCCTACTCACTGCCTTCTCGTGGCGGGGGTGTTGTTTACGAAAGTGAGAGGACGAAAAGCGAATGTTCGGCGCTATAACCGGATTGGTGGACATGGAGGGTCCACCTAGGGGAGTTGGAAAACCCTGATTCCAAACCAATGGTGCACATGGGCTCCAGTATCCTGATGGAACGAATGGCGGAAGAACCTGCTGTTGGTCAACGGCAACCATGGGACTGCATCTCCTCACGATGCTCCACTGCCTTGTGGATCAGACCTTTAGGTCAAAGGCTCGGGGTGTGGTCCCCTAAGAAAACCACCTGCTTCGGTTTGGGCACCCGGGCAGTATCACAGCCCACACACAAACAAATGAATGAAATTATGAACTTTATTGACGATATCCCTGGTCATACTAAAAGCAAAACAATTAACATTATTATTATTATTACCTTTATTATTATTATTGTTATTATTATTATTATTATTATTATTATTATTATTACTTACCATATCGCTAATTCACCCCCTTTTATCCCCAATTTGTGTAACCTTACTCTTCAACTTATGCAGCAGCTCGCTCTTGGTGGAAAATCTGTCCTATCTAAACGATCTCCAGTCACTGTCTGGTTGAAAGTGAATGCTTCCACCGATTATGAATACTGAGGCAGTCTTTCTGAAACCACGTACGCCGTTCAAGCTGGCTTCCTTCAACGTTCGCACACTAATGCAGATCAGACAACAGATAGGGCTGGCTATGTCTTTGGAAGGTCTTAATGTTGACGTTTGTTGTCTATCCGAGACCCGTATTCAAGACTCTAGTGAAGTACTACAAATCCGCTCTCCATCTGTCGCCTCGAAAAGCTTGTTCCACGTGCGCTTATCCGGGGACCCTGTGGCATCTTCGTCTGGTCTTGCTGGCGTTGGTGTCGCACTAAGCGCTAGAGCTGAGGCAGCACTAATCGATTGGATCCCCATTAACAGTCGGTTATGTGCTGTTAGATTAGAAAGTTCCATCAAAGTGAGAAGAAATCGGTGTGAGAAACGGTGTCTTTTCGTCATCTCCGCCTATGCCCCGACAGATTGCAGCCCGGATGCAATCAAGGATGAGTTTTACCATCAGTTAACAGTTCTTCTCCAGAAAGCGCGTTCGACAGATATTGTAGTACTAGCCGGAGACTTGAATGCACAGGTCGGGCGTCTAGGCACAGAAGAGAGTCGTCTAGGTGGCCGATGGGGACTTGTTGGTCGCAGGACAGATAACGGGGACCGTTTGCTGCAACTGTGCACAGACCACAACCTGTTTCTGGCCAGCACTAACTTCCGGCACAGTCATCGCCGGTGTGCCACCTGGCGTCCTCCCTCTGCATCCCAAGCCTGGACTCAGATTGATCACATCGCGATCAGCTACCGCTGGCGTGGTTGTGTACAAGACTGCCGCTCCTTTTGGAGTACCTATCTGGAGTCTGATCATGCCCTGGTCTGCGCCAATCTCACCTTACTTTTCAGTGGCCGAAGGATTGACCACCACCAACGGATTGATATTAGTAAACTGGCTGCAACTTCTGTTGCAAGTAAGTATCGAGCGGAGCTAGCCTCTAGGCTATCTACCACCCCACCGAAAAGTATAGGTAAGCATTGGTTGCATCTTCATGACGCCATGAAAATGGCGAGTAAAGCCGCTTGCGGCTTCGCGAAACGTCCCGCTTACAAGCACTGGGTTTCTTCTGGCTCCTTACAACTGATGGAAGCCCGTCGGTCTACTCCGGGTGACCGTGAGTTTGACCACAAACGAAGGCTGTTACGTAATGAAATCGGGCAAAGCTTGTGTAAGGACCGGGAAGCCTGGTGGTCGGAGCGTGCTAATGAGATGGAAGCAGCAGCTGCATCTGGTAACTGCCGGAAGCTCTTCCAACTCATCCGAGCCACTGGCAGCAAGAAGTCTGGTGTGAGTGAAACAATCTACGAGGATGACGGGATGCCAATCACTAACATCTGTCGACGTCTTGGACGATGGGCGGAATTTTTCGAAGGGCAGTTCAACTGGCCTGCTGCTCCGGCAACATCAACCAGCTTGTCCTGCTCCCCATGGCCGGTGACGACTGATCCACCAAACGAGGCGGAAGTCCGCAAGGAACTCCAACTCTTGAAACGTTATAAATCACCTGGCCCAGATGACTTACCTCCGGCTCTTTTTAAAGATGGTGGTGACTTTCTGGCTAAGGAACTGACTGCGTTGTTTGGAAAGGTTTGGGAGCAAGAAAGTGTTCCAACATTTTGGAATGAGTCAATAGTCGTCCCTATCTTTAAAAAGGGTTCACGTTGTTCCTGTAGCAACTATCGGGGGATAAGTCTACTTTCGATTGCGTCAAAACTATTGGCTTCTATCATTCTTCGTAGGTTGTTTAAAACCCGAGAACGATTGACTCGCGAGGAGCAGGCTGGTTTTCGTTCTGGTCGAGGATGCATTGATCACATCTTCACCCTCCGCCAAATGTTAGAACACCGTCATACTTATCGCAGGCCAACAATCGTAGTGTTTCTTGATATCAGGGCGGCCTTCGATTCGTTGGACAGGACTGTTCTCTGGGATTGTCTATTGAAGAAGGGTGTGCCTGAGAAGTTCATTAACATCTTAAAGGCCCTGTATACGAACACCTCAGGCAGAGTGAGGGCATACAACCACCTTTCTCCCTTGTTCCATTCGAGCAGTGGGGTTAGGCAGGGTTGCCCGATCTCCCCATTCCTCTCCAACTTTGCCATCGAAGACATCCTAGAAACAGCTCTGATGGATGTAAGTAATGGCGGTGTGGATATGTTGCCTGGAGAACGACTTCTCGACCTCGAGTATGCGGATGATATTGTCTTACTGTGCGATAATGCCCAAGGCATGCAATCAGCACTTAATCAGTTGGCAATCAGTGTCCGCAGGTACGGCATGTGCTTTGCACCCTCCAAGTGCAAAGTACTTCTACAAGACTGGCAGGATTCTCATCCTGTACTCACCCTGGATGGTGAGGAGATCGAAGTAGTTGAGAAGTTCGTGTATCTAGGTAGCTATATAAGTTCTGGTGGTGGCGTGAGTGATGAGATTGATGCACGTTTAATGAAAGCTAGAGCGGCTTATGCCAATCTGGGCCATCTTTGGCGCCTTCGTGATGTTAGTCTGGCTGTAAAAGGTCGGATCTACAACGCATCAGTGAGAGCAGTTTTGCTCTATGCTTGTGAAACCTGGCCTCTCCGAGTTGAGGATGTTAGACGTCTCTCTGTGTTCGATCATCGTTGTCTCCGAGGGATTGCTGACATCCAGTGGCAACACCATGTTAGTAATGCAGAGGTTCGGCATCGTGTGTTCGGGCGCAGAGACGATAATTCAATTGGTGTCACCATCTTGAAACACCGACTTCGGTGGCTCGGACATGTTTTACGAATGTCGTCCCAGAGACTTCCGCGTCGTGCATTATTTGCCGACCCTGGGACTGGTTGGAGAAAGCGGAGAGGAGGTCAGTGTATGACATGGTGTCGTGGCATGAAAGAGAGCTGCAAAGGGCTAGCTTCTGTTGGTCCTTCACGACTCCCTGGCTGGGGTCCGAGAGATGGTGCAACACAGTGGCTTGAGACGTTATCGGATATGGCTCAGAATAGAAGCCAGTGGCGATCCTGCTGCAACCTTCTTTTACTTTCTACATAAAGAATGGTTCTAACTTTCCTAACTGAAAGAATCTTCTGGTTGTACATTTCAGCCCGCCTTATCTTTTCATCCTTTATCTACCTACTTTCATTATTTTGTGTGGCGCATATGTACCTGGTGCCTTTTTGTACGAATATATATGTGTTTAAATAAATAAATAAATAATTATTTAAATACATAAATATCGGTACAAAGGGGCATCAGATACATATGCGTCGTACACTCGGAGCCTTTGACCTAAAGATCTGATCCACAAGGCAGTGGAGCATCGTGAATTTTGGCGGCCTGCTTAAACATCTAGGCTACCTGTTTCCCGTCATCTATATATTTCAACAAGTTATCTAATATTGTTTGTTTGAATACATAATTATGGCTATTAAGCACCCAACCTATTCCGGTGCGTTTCTGAAAACTGTACAACCTTTCGCTGTAAAAGTTACAAAAGGTCTAATCAGAGATGTCGTGTTTGCTGGGAACATGCAGCAAAAAGAATATACATTATTCATATGTCGATTGACTGAACTGCTGACATCCAACTGGTGATCACTGAATGTTTATCATCAGGAGCAACGAAGAAATAAGAAATGTAAACATGTTGAAATACTTTATGCTGAGAATTCGATTTTGTACCAAATAATATAATATTGAATAAAGCTAATAATAATAATAATAATAAGAGATGCAGTCCCATGGTAGCCGGTGACCAACGATTGATTCATACGCCATTTGTTCCCTCAGGATACTGGAGTCCATGTGCACCATTTGTTTGGAATGAGGGTTTTCCAACTCCCCTAGGTGAACTCTCCGTGTCCATCGACGCGGTTAAAGCGCCGGACATCCGCTTTTTGTCCTCTCAATTTTGTAAACAACAGTAATGCCACGAGAAGGCAGTGAGTAGAACTTCCCTGACATAGGCTATATTCGCGTGGCCATGTGAGAGTATTTCTAGAGGGAAAGCGGACTCTCCCCACTCTCGACCGTATCAGGGTATTTGGAGTCATGTGTAACTGATGGTCAGTAATAGTTAAAAACTGTTAATGCTCCAAACTTTACTATGATGAAATATGTATATATATTCATTAAAATGATCTAGTTTTCGTTTTATTCAATAAATTTTTTTTAAAGGAAACGAATAAATGTGTAAATAGTGTATGTATATGTAAAGTTTCCAACTGAAAAAAAACTAATTACATTGGGGGAATGTACTAAATTCTATTTTCTCCCTTATTTATTGTGTTTGTATTTTACTCTTCTCACTATTAGAACTGATTTCTTTCCTGGTTTGGGTTGGATGTTATTGAGAAAATTTTGGCTAGAAATTCGTGAAGGATGGCCCGATATATACTGGGATGAATATATGCGTAAATCTTATGTACGTAAAAGTCGAGCTTGTATTCGACCAGAAATTAGTCGTTCAATAACATTTGGACGAGTAGGTATATCTCAAGGTCAATATTTTGATAGTCATTTAAAATTTATTAAATTAAGCAGTGTCAAAGTCAATTTTCACCAACTAGATTTATCATATTTGAGAGAAGATGTTTATCGTAATCGATTCAAACAACTAGTTTATGAAGATTCAGTGGAAATGAGTTTTAAGGACTACATGAATAATCGCAGATCAATACCATACAATTCAAAATCTATTCGAATAACCTATGAAACTCGTAAAGAATTTGAAGAAATTGCAAAACCTTTAGGAATTATGCTTGATTTCAAATGTGGTATAAGCCGTAATGCCTATATGGGTGTGGTACCGGTATTTGTAAATGGTCATCGTTTATATATTGCCCCACCTTCCAGTTGGTCAGGTTATAATGAATCATGGGTATAGCGAAAATTTTTTTTCTCTTACAAAATTACTTTATTAAAGTGGAAAATGCTCATTCACTATTCTTCTTCTTAGTAATTTTTAAATTGTTGTTTCCTACTGTTTCTTCTTACTTATTATTTACCTTTCTTTTATTGTTCTTGCATAAGAACTTTGTTTTCAAAGAAAAAAATTATGAAAATATGGGAAACATAGAATATTCTGTATATTGTTTCAATTTATGCACATGTATATATGTATATGCATGCATGTATATTGCTATGGACACATGGAATTGTAAACTTTTCTATCTGTCTTACATTATTTCAATGCTCTTGTATTGTTTCTTTTTACTGGTAGATATGTAGGTATGTATGTATTGTTACTAAGTAATTTGATAGTTCCCTATGTTTTCTGAATTCTGTTGTATCTCTATGGATGAAATTCTCTACGAAAATGTATATATTTATGTGATATTATTTTTCATAGTTGAAATCATGAATCAATTGAAGCTAGACCACCATGAAAAACCTGAAAGCAATGGACGGCCGTTTCGTCCTATCATGGGACTCCTCAGCATTGTGGTTGCTCAAACTTCGTGGATTGGTTGAAGTTAGATATTAACATCGTTGGATGCCAGCCGGCTCAGTGTTCTATCGGTTAAGTGCTCTGGTGCGAGACTGATTAGATCCTGGGTTCGAATTTCGCAAGTGTAGGATCGTGGATGCGCACTGTTGAGGAGTCTCATAATAGGACGAAACGGCCGTCCAGTGCTTTCAGGTTTTCCATAGTGGTCTAGCTTCAATTGACTCATGATTTCAACTATGATGAATACTGAACTCTCCACAAAACGCCTTCTGATATTATTTGTTATTTTCTTGTATTATAAATGAAGTGATTCAGCAACTGAGTGCAAATGACTAGTTCTCATTGTGAGTAGATTTATTTTTCCCAGGATAACCAAAAAAAGAAACTCAGAATATGATTATATTGTTAGTAACTAAGCAAATAATATATTTCATTATTGTACATTTCTATTATTTTCTATTTACTTTACCTTCTTAATAAATGAAGATTATTTTTTTTTATTATTTTCTAAATAAAAGATAGTTTTCATGAACTCAATATGAAGTAGATTTTTTTAGGTTTTTTTGGAGGTGGGGTTTGTGCGTGTTTATATATTTTTTTTAATGAAAAAGATAAAAACTTGATATTGATTTTCTGTTTTTCATACATTGAACGTTTAAATTCCATTGCAACATAATTACTTACACCTGTTACCACCAATGGATCATAGGCTATCGACTATTATATTATTTATTTATTTAAACACATATATATTCGTACAAAAAGGCACCAGGTACATATGCGCCACACAAAATAATGAAAGTAGCAAGAGAAGGGATGAAAAGATAAGGCGGACTGAAATGTACAACCAGAAGATTCTTTCAGTTAGGAAAGTTAGAACCATTCTTTATGTAGAAAGTAAAAGAAGGTTGCAGCAGGATCGCCACTGGCTTCTATTCTGAGCCATATCTGATAACGTCTCAAGCCACTGTATTGCACCATCTCTCGGACCCCAGCCAGGGAGTCGTGAAGGACCAACAGAAGCTAGCCCTTTGCAGCTCTCTTTCATGCCACGACACCATGTCATACACTGACCTCCTCTCCGCTTTCTCCAACCAGTCCCAGGGTTGGCAAATAATGCACGGCGTGGAAGTCTCTGGGACGACATTCGTAAAACATGTCCGAGCCACCGAAGTCAGTGTTTCAAGATGGTGACACCAATCGAATTATCTTCTCTGCGCTCGAACACACGATGCCGAACCTCTGCATTACTAACATGGTGTTGCCACTGGATGTCAGCAATCCTTCGGAGACAACGATGATCGAACACAGAGTCGTCTAACATCCTCAACTCGGAGAGGCCAGGTTTCACAAGCATAGAGCAAAACTGCTCTCACTGATGCGTTGTAGATCCGACCTTTTACAGCCAGACTAACATCACGAAGGCGCCAAAGATGGCACAGATTGGCATAAGCCGCTCTGGCTTTCATTAAACGTGCATCAATCTCATCACTCACGCCACCACCAGCACTTATGTAGCTACCTAGATACACGAACTTCTCAACTACTTCGATCTCCTCACCATCCAGGGTGAGTACAGGATGAGAATCCTGCCAGTCTTGTAGAAGTACTTTGCACTTGGAGGGTGTAAAGCACATGCCGTACCTGCGGACACTGATTGCCAACTGATTAAATGCGAATTGCATGCCTTGAGCATTATCGCACAGTAAGACAATATCATCCGCATACTCGAGGTCGAGAAGTCGTTCTCCAGGCAACATATCCACACCGCCATTACTTACATTCATCAGAGCTGTTTCCAGAATGTCTTCGATGGCAAGGTTGAAGTGGAATGGGGAGATCGGGCAACCCTGCCTAACCCCACTGCTCGAATGGAACAAGGGAGAAAGGTGGTTGTATGCCCTCACTCTGCCTGAGGTGTTCGTATACAGGGCCTTTAAGATGTTAATGAACTTCTCAGGCACACCCTTCTTCAATAGACAATCCCAGAGAACAGTCCTGTCCAACGAATCGAAGGCAGCCCTGATATCAAGAAACACTACGATTGTTGGCCTGCGATAAGTATGACGGTGTTCTAACATTTGGCGGAGGGTGAAGATGTGATCAATGCATCCTCGATCAGAACGAAAACCAGCCTGCTCCTCGCGAGTCAATCGTTCTCGGGTTTTAAACAACCTACGAAGAATGATAGAAGCCAATAGTTTTGACGCAATCGAAAGTAGACTTATCCCCCGATAGTTGCTACAGGAACAACGTGAACCCTTTTTAAAGATAGGGACGACTATTGACTCATTCCATGATGTTGGGACACTTTCTTGCTCCCAAACCTTTCCAAACAACACAGTCAATTCCTTGGTCAGAAGGTCACCACCATCTTTAAAAAAAGCCGGAGGTAAGTCATCTGGGCCCGGTGATTTGTAACGTTTCAAGAGTTGGAGTTCTTTGCGGACTTCCGCCTCGTTTAGTGGATCAGTCGTCACCGCCCATGGGTGGGCAGGACAAAGTGGTTGATGTTGTGGGCTGTGATACTGTCCGGGTGCCCAAACCGAAGCAGGTGGTTTTCTTAGGGGGCCACGCCCCGAGCCTTTGACCAAAAGGTCTGATTCACAAGGCAGTGGAGCATCGTGAGGAGATGCAGTCCCATGGTAGCCGTTGACCAATGACAGGTTCGTCCGCCATTCGTTCCATCAGGATACTGGAGCCCATGTGCACCATTGATTTGGAATGAGGGTTTTCCAACTCCCCTAGGTGGACCCTCCATGTCCACCAACCCGGTTAAAGCGCCGGACATTAGCTTTTCGTCCTCTCACTTTCGTAAATAACACCCCCGCCACGAGAAGGCAGTGTGCAGGACTTCCCTGGCAGAGGCTATATATTCGCTGGCCATGTGAAATCATTTCGAGAGGAAGAATAGACTCTCCCCACTCTCGGCCGTACCAGTGCATTTGGGGGTGTATTATTTTATGTTAAAGGTTATTTATGAAGATTATTATGCTAAACACTTTCCGTCGTTTTTCTGTTCATTCAATGGATTTTCAATCATTTAAAGTTATCCTTAGCTATCTGCCATGAACAAATCATTTTAGCGATCCTTTTACATACCGAATGAAAAACAAAAATATTCTCAAATATCCATCACTGACATACTGAATGAACAGAAAAATGATCACAAGTGGCGAGTATAACAGATTTCTTGAACATTAAGTGCGTCGCAGACAACATCGACCCTTTCATGCAAACTGTTCATATTGAAATGATGGAAAATCCGAATTTTACTTGTCTGTGGTCTGAATAACATTTAAGATTATAATCAAATTGGAAATTTCTTAGAAGTTTGTAGTTAATCTGGTCTGTCTGCTAGATGTTATCTGTTTAGATTTCTACACTTATATGTCTTAATTTTATTGATTACGTCGGTGAGAGCAGTTTTGCTTTATGCTTGTGAAACCTGGCCTCTCCGAGTTGAGGATGTTAGACGACTCTTTGTGTTCGATCATCGTTGTCTCCGAAGGATTGCTGACATCCAGTGGCAACACCATGTTAGTAATGCAGAGGTTCGGCATCGTGTGTTCGGGCGCAGAGATGATAATTCAATTGGTGTCACCATCTTGAAACACCGACTTTGGTGGTTTGGACTTGTTCTACGAATGTCGTGCCAGAGACTTCCACGCCGTGCATTATTTGCCAACCCTGGGACTGGTTGGAGAAAGCGGAGAGGAGGTCAGTGTATGACATGGTGTCGTGGTATGAAAGAAAGCTGCAAAGGGCTAGCTTCTGTTGGTCCTTCACGACTCCCTGGCTGGGGTCCGAGAGATGGTGCAATACAGTGGTTAGAGAGGTTATTAGATATGGCTCAGAATAGAAGCCAGTGGCGATCCTGCTGCAACCTTCTTTTACTTTCTTCATAGAGAGTGGTTATAACTTTCTTAACCGAGAGAGCTCTTCTGGTTGTACATTCAGTTACCCCCATCATTACTCTTCTCCTTTTCTTTTTTTCCTTCTTTTATATATACGCATCTCCTTTCTCCCATTCTCATTATTTTGTGTGACGCATATGTATCCGGTACCCTTTGTACCAATAGGTATGTGATTAGATAAAGAAATAATATTGATTGTTAAGTAAAGGAACAGATGTGTACGATAACATTTGAAATATACTTAGTCTTTCGTGAATTTATGGGACTATTTACATTTATTAGTTTAGTTTTACTATACATCAGCAAATTTCTTAATTCTCTTTAAGCTTCATTCCATGAATAACCTTTCTGAAAGTCTAGTTTTGTAAAAGCATATCCACCGTTCATTTTGACAAAACTATTATTAGGAATTGGCATTGGATTCGCCGGTTATCTCATAACTCATTTAGATTATCTGAATAATCGGATATATAAACTGTTTCATTTGATTGATTGATGTCATAAAGAACGGAGCAAATT